AAACTCCAAACGGAGGAGAAAAGCTGCTGGACCTGTCATTGAAAAATAAACCTGGCATCCATAATTGGTTTCGTATACGCTAATAATTAATTTCAACAAAATAATAATATTAAATATGAAAGAGGCGATGTAAGAAATCTCACCGAATTTTTAATGCAAATATCCCAACAAGTTGCTGTCCCCCTCCCTCCAGCTGAAATATAATATCCACTCATAAAAATAAATATCATTTATCTATTTCGTATTTTCAATATTTCGCGGAATTTAATTTTTTTTCTTTCTTTTTCAAAATAGACAAAATCCTATAATTATCATAATAATAGAAGATGAATTATTTGTTTTTTGAAATGGTCCAAAATTCAAGTCTAAAGTTCCCATAAACAATACAAGAGTGGATTGTGTTCAATAAAAAATAACAAAAAAAAAATAATTATACAATTCCCAGAAAGTCTGGTTTATTTTGATTGGACATTGGAATTTTGATGATGGTTTTCTGGGAATCTGCAAAACAGTAAAATCACCAGGAGAAGACTTAAGAGGTTTGTGCTTATTTTAGGAATTGATTTTTTTCAACAATTAATTAAAAAAAAAAACTTCAAAGAAACATTGGTTGTACTGGCCGTTCAGGATCATAATTTCTAGCTTCTATGTTGTCTCACAGTCTTATAAACATCCATCCCATATATTCGAATCCGAATATCGAATTAATTGGTAATTTTAAGCGTAGTTTTTATAAAAAAATATTATTTCTTCAAATTTGCACAACGAATAGGTTACACAAGGTACGAAAAAGATCCCTTAGCGTTGCCATATTCGCAAATCATTTTTTTTTTCAATTCAAATCATGATTGGAAGAATAATCTCTGAAGAAAAATTTTTTCCGTGGCAATAGAATTCCATGCGGATATTAAAAATTCCAAACTTCTACGTTGCTCCAAAGACTTATCAGCATCCAACACGCATATTCGGATCCCAATACCAAAAGTTAATTGATTTAAGATTTTTAAGAAACAAATGCACATAAAGCGGTTAAAATTTGCACAACAAATAGGTTACACAAGGTACGAAAAAGATCCCTAAGCGTTGCCATATTGGCAAATCATTTTTTTTTTTTTCAATTCTTCATGATTGGAAGACTAATCTCTGAAGAAAAATGTTTTCCGTGGCAATAGAATTCCATGCGGATATTAAAAATTCCAAACTTATGCGTTGCTCCAAATACTTATCAGCATCCATATATTCGTATCCTAATATCAAAAGTTTATTTATTTAAGTTTTTATAAGGAACAAAATTGCACAATAAATAGGATACACAAGGTACGAAAAAGTTCCATTAGCATTGGCATATTGGCTAATTATATCTCTTCAATTATTTATAATTAGCGGAATGATCGGTGGAGAAAAATGCTTTCCCGGGAAATATAATTCTGTGCGGATATTCAAAATTTTCAATTTCTTGCTCCAGTCTTTTTGCCATTCAGTCACAGTGAATTGATAACAAATTGAATGATATAAACATATAATTATTTTTGACTACACGGTTATATATTAATCAATATCAGCCGATTAATTCAAAATATTACCAATATGAATGATTTAGAAAAAGGTTTGCTGCAGACCTTTACACTTTTTCTCACAGCGCATTATAGACTGCATCAAAACAACTTATAGAAAATCGCTTCAAATTTGTACCATTTTGCACAACAAATAGGTTCAACTAGGTACGAAAAAGATCCATTAGTGTTGCCATATTCGCAATTTATTTCTCCTCAATTATTTATTATTTGAGGAATAATATCTTTGGAAAAATACCTTTTATAGGAATAGAAACCCGTGCGGACATTCATGGTTCGGCTGATTATGTTTTTTTTACTGTCGAAGATTTCTAGAAAGTCTGCCTTCCATAAAATTTGTGTGCAAAGCATCCTATCGACATAAGAACTCTAGAATATTTCCTGTCTAGCAAAGGCTATAGTCGATGGCCTCTAGAAGTACTTTAAGAAAAAGCACACTAGAAGCTCTTCTTGGAAAGTGGCTCTATTCATAATTGACATTAATTCAAGTACTTAGCGGAAGAACTTCAGAATCGTCTGAAATCTTCAGAAATCGTAGAAGAGTTAAAAAATTTAGATGTCCGTCCGTCTGTTGTAATCACGCTAGAGTCAAAATGAATAAAGATAGGATGCTAAAATTTTGCAGTGATCTGTCTTTTGTCTGCAGGCCAAGTTCGAACATGGGCTATATCGGTCCACGATATCGTATAGCCCCCATATAATAGTACCCCCGATATTCGGTATTTTTATGATTTTAACAATATTTTTTTAGTGGAATTGTTTGAAATTCTACACAAAGAGTTTTTCGTGACTACTTTAACCCCTGAAAAAGAATTTTCCATATAGGTCCCCGTATCGTATATCCCCCATATAACTGTACCTCACGATATTCGGTATTTTGATAATTTTAACCACTTTTTTCAATGGAATTGTCTGAAATTCTACACAAACAGTTCTCAGAAAGTACTTTAACTCCCGTAAGATTATTGTCTATATAGGTCCATGATATCGTATAACCCCCATATAACTCTACCTCACGGTATTCGGTATTTTGATAATTTTAGCCACATTTTATAATGGAATTATCTGAAATTCTACACAAGGTGTTCTCTGTTTTTTTTTTTTTTCTATATAGGTCCACGATATCGTATAGCCCCCATACATCCGTGCCCCTCGATATTCGGTATTTTGATGATTTTAGTAACATTATGCACCGGAATTGTTTCAAATTTGATATTTGGAATTCGCAATGGGTACTGCAGTCTATACCAAAAAATGTCCGTGCAGGTCCATGACTTCGTATAGCCCCCATATAACTGTACCTCACGATAATTCGGTATTTTGCTTGATTTTAGAAACACTATTGACCGGAATTGTTTCAAATTTGGTATTTGAAGTTGGTAATGGCTACTACAGCCTAAGACAGAAAATTGTCTGTGCAGGCCCACGTCTTCGAATAGCCTCCATATAACGGTACCTCCCAATATTCTGTATTTTGATGATTTCAGCGACATTATTCATCGGATTTTTTTTCAAATTTAATATTTGAAGTTCGTAATGGGTACTACAGCCTAAGTCAGAAAATTGTCTGTGCAGGCCCACGTCTTTGTATAGCCTCCATATAACGATACCTCCCAATATTCTGTATTTTTATGATTTTGGGGACATTATTTACCGGAACTGTTTTAAAATTCGTATTTAGAATTCGTAATGGGTACTACAGCCTATGACAGAAAATTGTCTGTGCAGACCCACGTCATCGTATAGCCTCCATATATCAGTACCTCACGATATTTGGTATTTTGCTTGATTTTAGCAACACTATTGACCGGAATCGTTTCAAATTTGGCATTTGAAGTTGGTAATGGCTACTACAGCCTAAGACAGAAAATTGTCTGTGCAGGCCCAGGTCTTCGTATAGCCTCCATATAACGGTACCTCCCAATGTTCTGTATTTTGATGATTTCAGCGACATTATTCACCGGAATTGTTTCAAATTTGGTATTTGAAGTTCGTAATGGGAACACCAGTCTATGACAGAAAATTGTCTGTGCAGGCCCACGTCTTTGTATAGCCTCCATATAACGATACCTCCCAATATTCTGTATTTTGATGATTTTAGCAACATTATTTACGGGATTTGTTTCAAATTTGGTATTTGAAGTTCGTAATGGGTACTACAGCCTAAGACAGAAAATTGTCTGTGCAGGCCTACGTCTTCGTATAGCCTCCATATATCACTACCTCTCTATATTCGGTATTTTGATGATTTTATGTACATTATTCACCGGAATTGTTTCAAATTTGGTATTTGAAGTTCGTAATGGAAAGTCCAGTCTATGACAAAAAATTATCTATGCAGGTCTAGGCCTTCGTATAGCCCTGATATATCAGTACCTTCTCATATTCGGTATTTAGACGATTTTAGCTACATTATTCACCGAAATTGTTTGATATTTCGTATTTAGAATTCGTAATGGGTACCACAGCCTGCGACAGAAAATTGTCTATGCAGGTCCAGGTCTTCGTATAGGCCCCACATATATCTGTACCTCCCTGTATTAATTTTTTTGATGAGCTATATTATTTACCGGATTTTCTTTTTCAAATTTGGTATTTGAATTTTGTAATGGCTTATGACAAAAGTTGCCTATGCAGGTCCACGCCCTCGTATAGACCCCAATATAACGGCTATATTCGTTATTTTTAAGATTTTAACAGAATTTTTAATGGATTTTATTTTTTTTTTTTTTTTTGAAAATTTCCTAATTCGTTCCAAATGGTGAAGGGTATTCAAAGATCGGCCCGGCCGAACCTACTGTTATTTTACTTATTTTTCTTCTTTTTTTACCCGTCTCTCACAACTTTTGCAAAGAAAAAAAAAATAGAGATTACTCTACTAAAATTATTGTCTCGGTCTTTCGTGCGATTATTTAAAAAAAATTCCTTGTTCAGGAAACTTATAAAGAGGTTCAATGAACAAGTTTTGTTTTATCATTTGAAGAATCTCTGAAAGGCCTTTATAGATAGATAACTGAGAAATACCTCTAGAAGACCTTCTTTCTACAAAATACCTCTACATCTATTGAATGCTAAAGACGATATGATCTACAAAAAGTCCTCTGGAAGTTTATTAAATATAAACACTTATCGTGAAATGGGTTATATTTGAGGTACACCTACAAATAAAAAAAAACGTAGAAGTTTTTTTCTGCCGAAGATTTTGAAGAAATATTTGATCTTTACACACGAAATGTAACTAATTTTTTCATATTTCATTTATGGTATAGTTTTATTCAAATTCGCCATGCCCTCTCCTAGAATTCCTTTTTAAATTTCCTAGAATCTTGGACATTGGTTTTTCGAAAATATGGAAACTTTTCATGTATTTCAATATTCTTTTTTTAATTTTTCTTTATTTTATCTTTGTCATACATACATACTTACCGATTTGTATTATTGCCCGCCAATGGTTGTTCAGCATCACTTTTGGTCACCACACTAATGGAGCGTGTCATGCGTCGCGGTTTGGTTGAACCCTCCTTGTAACCAAGATTCTCCATGGCTAATTGCACGCGGGCCACAAAAAAAAAGTAACAGTCTAAAACCACTACTGCTGTTGATGCTGTTGCTCTATGTTCTTAGGTGTGGAATGGGGTTTTGGCTTTGGGGGGAGGAGGAGGGCTGCTGGTTTACTTATTGCAATGCTCTACTGTCTAGTGGGCGATGACGACGACGTTGATCTTAAAACTCAAATTCTTCAGATGCATTCAAATTGAAATTTTGAAACTTAAGATGAGATATCTGCAAAAGAGAAGAGAGAGGGTGAACAGGGAAAATTCATATTTAGTTGAAAAAATTGAAATTGAGACCCTTCGATTTGCAATAAATTAATAACAAAAAGAAGAAGAATTCGGTGTTGATTTGATTTTTTGTTTAGACCCGATCGTATTTCAACAAGATTGTTATTATTATTGTATTGTAGTTATTGTTTTTTCATGAAAATTGAATTGTTAGGAAATGTTTGAAATTGAGACAGGAACTAGTAGAGCGTGGCAGTATTCGAATATTGGATGATATAATATGGAGCATAAACATATCCAACAAATTAAATTAAATATTTTCAGGGGCTCACTTTTTGTTTTTTTTTTTTTTTAAGTGAGATAAAAATATTTTAGAACCAGAATCCATTCCTAGAAAATCATGTGGGTTCCATTAGGGTTTTTTATGAAGAAATAATGCTGCAGCTTAAGATTAACTTCAGATTAACCACTGATTGCATAAATTTAATAAATGTAAAGCATATTTTTAGGAGAAGATGGCAATATTGTCATAGAATAAAAATCCATTCCCAGAAATTCCCATTGGCCACGGAAAATTAACTTCTAGAGATTCCACAAAAAAACTCTTCCTCGTTGCTGGCAGAATTTACATTGTATTTTACTGCATACTTTTAGGAGCTACAATTTATTCACATTTCTTTATCGTAGCTGGTTGATTCCCAAACTAGTAGATAAGCCCAGATCTTTTAGGAATATAGCTGCGTAGGATAGAAAAAAATCTGGCGGTGTTTTCAGAGGTTTCAATTTTTTTTATGAATTAGAAGACAATTTAACGAGCTTTTTACAGACGACGACAGTTTTGGAATTGGAATTCAAATTGTTGTTTTGGTTATTGCTATTCGCTGCATACTTTCAGGAGTTGCTTATTTAAAACTCTCCATCAGCTAATTGGCTCCTAAAATGCTCAGATAGAACTTCCAGTGGTGTTCATAAAACGAATAGTCTCCTAGATGTTTTCTATAAATAAAATGACTTCTTCTGTACATCTTCGAAATTCAACAGAGCTAACTGGTCTTTGAAATCAATACCTCTTCTAAGGTTAAGCAAAGGGCATTTTGAAAGCGAAAAAAGAACCATTGAACTCCAAGGTTTGTTTTAAAATCTTTTCTAAACTCTAGGATCCTTGACTTTAGTTTTTTTTTTTTTTTTGTTTCAGACCCTCGCCTGATCTCTAGAAATTTGCTTCTAAGGAACACTTAAAGGCCCCGCCTCAGGTCCTAGGAACGATTATTCTTATTAAATATTTCGAAACATTTCCTGAAATAGAGCAATTCTTAATTTTCATGGAATATTTCAAAGCCACGTACTGAGTTCTAGGTGCCTGGATTTTTTTTATCGATTTTGAAAGCCCTTTTTGAGCTCTGGCAACATGGATTTTTCAAGACCTGATTTAAAAACCTCTTCCGAGTTCCAGCAACGTTGATTTTAAGGAAATATTTCCAGTTCTAGTTACCTGTAATTTTTATCGATTTTAAAAGCCCTTTTTGAGCTCTGGCAACTTGGATTTTTCATGACCTGATTTGAAACCTCTTCCGAGTTCCAGCAACGTTGATTTTAAAGAAATATTTCCAAGTCTCTTCTGAGCTCTAGCAACGTGAATTTTTCAAACAAAATTTCAAAGCCTCCTCTGAGCCTCAGCAGTATTGATTCCAAGGAATATTTCAAAGCCTACATTGAGCTCTGACAATGTTTACCTTCAAAGACTATTTCAAAGCTTCTTTCGAGCTCTGGCCACTTGAATTTTTGAAGAATATTTCCAAGCCTGACTTGAGCTATAGGAATGTCGATTTTTTAAAGCTTCCCCTGACCTTTGGCAAAGAGAATTTTTATAGAATATTCAAAAGCCTCTCCCAATTTCTAGGAACGTGGATTTTTAGGGGTTATTTTAAAGATTTTTCTGAACTCTGACAGCATGAATTTTTGAAGATCTTCTGAGCCCTAACATTGTAACATTTCCCAGCCTCCTATAAGCTCTGACAACGTGGATTTTTTGAAAAATATTTTAAAGCTCTTTTAACCCTTAGCATTGTGATTTTTCAAAGACTGTTTCAAAACCTCTCTTGCAGTCATGGTTTTAAGCAATATTTCAAAGCCCATCCTAAGGTCGTACAACGTGAATTCTTACGGACTATTTCGAGGCTCCTTCTAAGCTTTAGCTACGTGAATTTCTAAAGAATATTTCCAAAACTCCCCTGAGCTATGAGAACTTCGATTTTTTAAGATTTTTTAGATTCGCCTGATCTTTGACTATGTGTATATCTGAAGAATATTCCAAGCCTTTTCGGATTTCTGGGGATGTGGATTTGTAAGAGTTTTTTTCAAAGCTCCCCTTTGAGTTTTGAGAACATTGATTTATGAGAACTTAAATTTAAAAAAAGGGTTTGAAGATTCACTCGATCTTTGCGAATTGAATTTCTAAAGAATATTCTTAGCCATTCCTGATCTCTAGGAACTTGGATTTTTAAGAAGTATTTCAAAGCCTCCCCTGAGCTCTGGCATCGAGGATTTTTGAAGAATATTTCAATGCTTTTCTAATCCCTTGCATTGCGATTTTCCGAATCACATTTAATGGCCTTCTCGAAGCTTTAGTGAAGTGGATTTTTAAGCATATATTTCAAAAGACCTATCAGAGCCCCAGGAACGTAAATTGTTACGGAATATTTCAAAGTCCCATCTGAGTGCTAGCAGTACGGATTTCGAGGAATTTTTCAAAGCCTATCCTGAGGGCTAACAACGTATTTTTTATGATTATTTAAAAGTTCCATCAAAGCTCCAACCACGTGCATCTTTGAGGTATACTTCGAAGACTCCCCTGAGTTAAGGAACGAACATTTTTAGGTACATTATTCACCGTATTTAGAATTCGTATTGGGAACTACAGTCTATGCCAGAAAATGGCCTACGCAGTTCCACGTCTTCGTATAGCCCCCATTTAACGATACCGCCCGATATTCGGAACTTTTATGAGTTTAGCGACATTATTTACCGGAATTGTTTGAAATTTCGTATTTAGAGTTCGTAATGGGAACTCCAGAAAATTATCTTATAGAAAATTATCTATGCAGGTCCAGGTCTTCGTATAGCCCCATATATCAGTACTTCCCTATATTAGGTAATTTGACAATTGTAGGAACCTTATTCACCGGATTTTTTCAAGTTTCATATTTGAATATTGTAATAGACTATGACAAAAGTTGCTTCTGCAGGTCCACGTCGTCGTATAGACCCTAATATAATGTCTATATTCGATGCTTTTAAGATTTTAAGAGAATTTTTAACGGATTTTATTTTATTTTATTTTTTTTTTTTGAAAATTTTTAAATTCGTTCCAAACGGTGGGGGTATTCAAAGTTCGGCCCTGACTTCTCGGAACTCTAGATATGTAAAATTTTTTGGAATATTTCTCAAGTTTTTTTGAAAGCCGGCCTTGAACTCTTACAGACATGGGGTTTTTTACCCCTTCTGGATTTTTGGTAACGTGATTTATTTTAGGATTCAAAGCCCTCTTGAGCCTCATATATCCGGATTTTTAAGTTGTATTTCAAAACATCTACTAAGTCAAGGAATGTGGGTTCATTAATTAATAATTCAAGGTTCACACTTCTAAATCAAGGTAGGATCCTCTAAAATCTTTAGCGTTTTTGATTCTTGAAATCATTTGAAACAGACTGACAACATCCTTCCTTGTTCGTTTTCTAATTCCTTCGTTTTCTAATTCCTTCGATTTTATAAGGCTTGGGTGGAAGAATTTCCTGCAATGCTCTATAGATAATTTGGACTGCGCAAAAAAATGCTACTCTTTCAAGACTGGCCAGACCCTGCTTTCTTCGTTTTCTAATTTCTTCCATTTGGGCTAAAAGTTGGGTGCAAAAATTTCGAGCTATGCTCTGTAGGAAATTTGGACTGCGCAAAAAATGCTCCTCTTTCAAGAAGTTGAGGGTATTTCTCATCATAACGGAGACGTCGTTTTCTAGATGATCCCTGGTTATTGAAATATACGAATGTCTGAAGCATAAACCAGCCTCCAAGTCTCGAGCTCCATTTAACCACTTTCGAGGCTCTTCCTGGTTTGCACTTATTTTATTCAAATTCTAAACACCCTGCAACATGTTGCCACATAAATCTGTCTGGTTTGTAGAATTTCTCCGCAAAATTCTCTCCCCTTTTCACTTGCCAATGAAATTTATTTTCACAATTTCTATTAACACATAAACACAACAACAACAACACGAAGAAGAAGATCTGATCGGGAACACCGTAAATCGAATTTCACACATGATTGAATTACAACATGATTTTGTTGCTCTTTGTGTAATTTTTTTTGTTGGTGTTCGGCATTAACGTAATCGATATTTCACTAGTTTTATCTTTTTTTTGTGGACCGATTTAATTGTTGTTGTCTAATTCATTTAGTGTTTTTTTTTGCTTTTCTTTTTTTTTTTGTTAAAATTTGTATTGAAATTTTACGCTATTTTATTTTTCACATTCATGGGGGAAAAATAGCAGCAGCACTACCACTTTATTAGCACCTTGATATTTTGAAAGCTGTTTCTGGGGGTTTTCACGTTTCCGCAATGGCAAAAATTGGGTTCGAAGGTTGGCGATTTTTTGGCTTTTGGCGATCTGGCTTCTCCCACTTCTGAAGAGCAATTAATTTTGCATTTCATTGAGATTTTCCAGGCGAATAAAAAGTATTTCTTTTTTTTGGGAAACTTATTTTGGCATTATTTTTTTGTTTCAATTTTTTTTGTTTTTGGGGGAAACTTAATGCTGGCGTCACATGAAACAGCGTGTTGTTTAGAATGCTTGTTGGTTTTTTTTGCAAATTTTTTTGGTTGCCTTTTTATCTCTTGCCTGGTATTTGATTTATTTTTTGAAGTTCTCCTTATCTTGAAGGAAATTATCAGCCGCAACATCCAACGCCAAAGCTAGCCAACAGCATCCCCATTACTTCTCATCATT